TTCTTTGGTGCTTTTAAGTTGCTAAACATGCCTCGCGGTATCGTCACACTGGAGGCGACAGACCAGTTTAAGGATAATTCCCGCGTATTTGTATGTTCTTGGTTCAGCTTTTCGTACACTGTAAAATTATTGTGCTGCTAATATATACATTTGCTGCTGTCAATCTGTTATGTTTAAATAGTAATACGGAGACATCTTTATTACTTCAAATCTTGCCTTGAGAAATAATGATTTTAAGTGTAATTTTGGTGCATTGAAATGTGCCCACAACGTAATTTCCATTAACACAATCATTTTTGTAGCTTATATTTGTATAGATAATCAAATGATTTCGAGTAAAATTTGAAATAAATAAGTCCAAGAACTAAAAAACCTGCACGAGCCTGTTGGGCGAGTGCAATTTGTAGTCTTTGAAAAATTCACGAGTGCTTATTTATTTCAAATTGCAATTGGATTACTTGCTAATAATAAACCATTATGTCATTTTAACTTTCCACCCTCAGAAAGTTAAAGCACTGAGCTTCAACTTTTTACATTACTTGGAACTAATTGGCGTGTTGTCAGCCAATAGGGACGCTTTAAGTTTTACATTTTTATTATTATATGCTAAAAGAACATTTTCAATTAAGATTTATGAAGTTTTAGTTATTTCCAACCTTTTTTTTCATATAGATTTCCTTTTAACATTTAATAGCAAGTTCTTATCATCATGAGAAAATTATTGCGCTTTCTATTACCTTTAATATTGTAGCTGTACTAAGGAGTGGTTGACTGTTTTTGATCCAAACACGTTTCGGATAATACTTTAGCCTTCGTCAGTTTAGCTACAGAAAGCTGACTTTCATTAGCGTTCTATACAGTTTCTCGCTGAATTTCTATTTATAGTCAGCCAAAACCGCCACAGAGAATAGAAATATGCATTCTCAAAAGGATTCTTCTGCAAAATTTTAAACGGATATTCATAGTTTATAAAATTATAGACGCTGTCGTGCCACTTTAAATGCGAAAAGGCACTAATGGGAGCGAAGTAAGACGAAATCATACAAAAAGCAATAAAAAATCTACAATCAAATGAAAGAGCACCTTGTTTTTGGTGACTTCATCAAAATCGACCTTACTTACATGAAAAGTGAATAAAATACAAAGTTCTAAAAATCACTCTGTTCAGTGCTCTCTACTTCAGAAATTGCGCCTTTTATGAAGAAGTTTATTTTATGACTCTTGAAAACGTTATATTCAGTTCCTGATCATAATGAAACAGTTTTAGATTTGGTAACAAAGGCCATTTCCTGAAGGATCGAAGCTGAACTGGCTCCCATACCTTTTTCGTTTTTAAAGTGGCTCCGCTTTACAAGCACAATAATTTGGTAAGCCTTTTGGTCTGACTTAGATGCGCAATTGCTTTTAAACCTTGTCGTAATAAAGACTATACAGAAAAAAAACTTTCAGCGAGTAAAATTAGTTTCTATATTGATAAAGGGAATGGGCCGCCAATAGTTGGCGATTTCGATAAGAGGATTTTGGGGTAGTGTGTTAACACAGTGGAGTATACCGAGTAACATATCAACTGTGCAAAAGATAGAAAATCGATTTTCATTTGAGCATCGTTCATCGTTCCGATGGGAACTGAGCCATCATTTGTCCGTGATCAAATTTTTACGCTTTCTAATTAAAACCAGGCGTTTTGAAAATGATTTTTACTCAATTGTTATTCATGTAAATCTAATACATTATTTCTATAAAAGCATTTACGCCGAGACTCTTCTTAAGACAAGGACAAAAAGACCAAAAACAGTTCGGCTATATCATCTTAAAAGATAAACGGAATGTGCATTAGAATGATCTGTAGGATAAGAATGGAAAAATATCGATAAAACCTCCTTTGAAAACCTTGCGCACCTAACCCCGAAAGAGGCGGTTAGCCTTAACAACTGTCCCCTCTTCTGCTGGTTCGCCAAATGTGTCCATGAGGGGTTAATTGGGTATAGTCGAATTGCTTGAAATGAAATGCAACGGAGAAAAAAAAGAAGGAAATTAAACAAAATCACTATAGTCTACAACATGGATCGTCCAAATACAAGAACACTTATGGTTTAGAGCGTTTGTTTTGGTGTCTATCTATTGAATACTAACCTTACAGATTTTCGTTTCTATTAGAGCTTCAGCTGTCCTTAATTGTTTCACAAAGTCAATAAATCCCCCATCAAAAAAAAAAATCTCTCGTCGTTTCTCCACCGTGAAATCAGTAAAAAATCGAAAAAAAAAAAAAAAATCAACAAGAAACTCGAATGAATGTCTAGAGGTTTTTAATTGTTAATTAACAACACATTTTGGTTCCATAAAGCCTACAAAACATCGAACGATTAAGCCCTGTTAATGAATGAAAAACCTAGCAGGCAAATACTATCCGTCCTTAATTAAACAACCCTGCAGGTGCAATTTATCAGTGTTATTTGGTTACTTTCACTTGTCCGGCTGACTCGCAGACTAACTAGGATTTTAATTGGTCGAGCGAGGCGGAAGGCAACAAAAGATGTCAAAAGTTGTCAGGGAAAAAGCTAATCAAAGTTTTTTTTCGGATATACCGCAAACGGTGGCAATAACTGTATGGTTTTGTATGAAACAATTATGTATGAGATAACAGTTTTTTAGCCAGTGGGCAGTGAAAACTTTTCCTGCAATTTTACTTGCAGAACATCTTATCCTTTGTGAGAGTGAAAAACGTTTATTTTTTTTATCT